ACTACTAGTAAGGCACTTGTTACTAGAAGCGATGCACTTGTTACTAGTAGCATCCTTGCTCCGTCTTCTTGCGCAAAATCCGTTTGGCTCCGAAGGAACTCACATCGCTTCAGTGCCTTCCGCCGGTGCTCACCGGAGCACTCCAAGCCTCTTGCGACGACGAAAGGGGGTGCTCTTGCGACGTCACATGATTCTGAAAGCCCAAATTCCTTTCCAAAACCTGTGCCAAGAGCCTGCTGGACTTCTCAAGCAGGATGTCGCTCGCATGAAGAAAGGAACGCATGAGGCGTTCTTCATCTTTCTCCCCAATCTTCCCTAGCTGTTCTTGCATCTGACGCACGTTCTGAGCTCCACGGACACAAGTAGATTCCGTAGGTCAATGAGATCCAAGTCGGGTTCCTGGCTGCAATCCGTTCTGTGTTCCTGGATGGCTTCGTTTGAGGTCTTGACACCGAATTGGATCCTGAGTCTGAGACACCTGCTCTAGACCCCTGCACCCTCATGCCACACCTTTCACTGTCGGTGAAAAAGAGGTAAGCAAAGGTGAAAAAGAAGTGGATCCAGCGAGGTCCTAGCCCCCTCCAAATCCTTTCCAATCGTTCCTCCAATTCGACCTCTTTCGCAACCCACTCGACCCTGACCGACCACTTTCGACCCACTGATGTCATGTCTGTGCACACGTTGCAGACTCTGTCGGTCATCGACGTCGGTCATCGGTCTTGCCTGTTGGGACACTCGAAGCAGGAGCGGTTCTCGCTCTTCATGCGCAGCTTCCTCGAGGGGGCAGGGAAGAAATCTTCTGAGACCGACTCAGAGGCTGGTCAAAAAAGCAAAAAGGCAAGACACATTCTATGTGAGGATCTCTTTCTGTGCTCTTTCTTACCACTGGCCACAAACAACGACAACCCTTGCCAAGGCTTGAGCATGCTTGAACTCTATATCTTGGACAGAACGGGAAACTTGCCAGACTGCCCGGGCCTAAAGAAGTTATTGCGGACTTCGTCTGGGACAAAGCCCTGGCAGCAAGCTCTCCAAGAACTGGACAAAAAGATATATTTATTTCCAACCTACTAGCGATGGCCTCCAACCCCGTTTATACAGTTAGAAGCAAAGTTTGAGAAGTCAAAGTGCGCGTCTCTACGAACAGGTCGCGTGAACGACGTGGCGTCAACTCCACAGCATGACATCGGTCTGATCGATCTCGAGTCAAACCCGTCTCCTTGTCATTGACCGCGTTCAACGTCTCCTGGCAGTTCAGTCAAGTTCAAACAAAAGCCAAGGATGCTAGCAATGCCATCCAACGTGCCCAGTGAGCAAAACATACTATATACCATGTATATATATATATATATACACGTGCCAATGACAAACCAAGTCGCACACTCTTGTGCAATAGAACTTTGGTCGTGCACATGTTTGGAGTAACAAATGCCGCAAATACGAGAGGAAAGACACCGGTCGTCCCATCGGCACCTGTCCGACCGCTTCTAAGGCCTCCATTTTTTAGCCTCACAGGGGCCACACAGCGACCAGCCCAAGTAGTCAAATCTAGGTGGATATAGCCGGAATATTTTGTGTTTGGGTTGGTTCTCTGAAAATGATGCAATATTCCAAAGTAATGGTTTCAGAAATGGGGTCTGCCCAAACTTCACTGTGGCAATCGCTGAACCGTACCCTAGCGCCTGACCCTTGCACACAGGACAAGCTTGTCAATCCCTTTGTTCAAACCTATATCAACAAGACTTCATGGACAATACGAAGCACCGGAAAGCTGCCCAATCATACGCAACTCCAACCGTAGCGGCCTACGAAGCAGCTCAAGCGAAGACAACAAAAGGCGGCGAGATTTTGTCTTGGGCACAAAACTCGCGTCGCCAGACCGTCCGCGGCATGGGTCAATCCGTCACGACGGCACAACCCGGGTCAAACAGACGGCACGACACGGATTTCTAGACCTTCCGAAGTGTCGCCAAAAGTGTTGTATGTCGTTCTATCGCATCCCCTGTGATAGTACTGTTTGGTTTTTACCACAGTTCCGAAGTGAACCGAGTCCCAACAGGTCAAACCGAGTCTCCAGTGATCCCGCACAGATGGATCAGCGATCAGCACTTCAGGTGAATAGAGCCCGGTCGGTGCCAAGGAACGTTTCCTTCGCCATCACCGGTTTCGCCGGGCGGCTTCGTCGGATCGCAAGGGTTCGCCCCGACGAAGGTTCGGTCGGGTCGCGGGTCGAGGCCGGTCCAGCCGCTTTCGAAGGTTCCGGTCGTTTCGCGGGCGAACGGTCCAGAAAAGGCTTCTTTCGCGAAAGCTTGCCAGATGGAGGCTGGTGGCAAAACTGATTCGGTGCGGCCCCTTTTTCGGAAAGCGCTATGCACGTGGAGAGGGGAGTGCTTCAGCCCTTTAAATCTGAGCGTGATGACAGAAACTGCTGGTCTAGAATCGTAGAACTCGGCGGGTGTGCCGTCAGTTGTCTCATGTTGTTGTTTTTCTCAAGCAGGACCAAAACTTGAAAACAGTTGATCAACAAAGCCAATAAATGTCTACATTGCAGTCTGCAGGAAAACGAAGTTCACCAGTGCAAAGCTGCATGTTGGATCGTCATCACTGCACTCGAAAATCCCACTGCCCAAAAGACGTCTTGACATGGCACAGTGGAAAGAAGGGTGGCCGGTTCAGCTGCGGCCTTCTTCCTGCCAATCGCCCAGTTTCTGGTTCAGCTGCTAAGAAAAGCAACTATCGTCACTGTTCACTGTTGGACCTCGTCCAGGACTGGCAACGATCGGATGAGGACGCTGCTTCAGACCCGCTCAGTTGAAGAAGGTCCGCGCTCTTGAAGTGCCAACAAACCTGTCGCAAAGCAAAATCTAAGCAGAAAAACAACGGAGACACTCGAAACAGACGACATCAGGCGACCATGTTTTTTGTCACAAATGAAGCCCAGGTTGAGGTGATGCACTTCCAGGCCCAGAATCCTGCTTGCGAAGAGCTCTGTTACAGTCTGTAACCCACAATCCTATCTATCTGTGCAGCGGCATTTATTTGGTACTAAACTCAAATACACTATCTAATACTATCTATTATGCGGGGGCCGTATCTCGTTTAGACTACTTATATAAGTAGGAGGTCATGTCACAGTATCTCGTTCAGACTACTTTAGTAGCAGATCACACTGTCTCGTTCAGACTACTTTAGTGTCATCAAGCAAAAGCATCTTGTTTATGTGGGGGCCTATCTCGTTCACAAGTGAATACTGATGATAGACAAGCAAAGAGAGCATGCCGTAGACTACTTTAGTAAAGCCTAAATTAAAAGTGGTTGCTCATCTGAGAACAGGTGTATAGAGACAGACTGAGGGCTGCGCTTGTCCCTCTCTTCAAGGATACTGTTCACTCGAGTGAGAACCTGAAGGACTTGGAGTTGGCAGCACGTTGGACCTGCTGACGTTTATCAGACCTTTCATTCTGAGCATGGGGCATAGAAGTCGCATTCGCCATTCTCATCCTGCGGATCTGTCATGATCTGTCGCCCACTTCTTTGGAATTCCCAATGCGCCGACTCCAAAACGCGAGCTTGCTTCGGAGGTAAATTGGTAAATTGATTAGATCTCATCCAATCAGATCTCCAAAATCAGATCCCATCCATCCCGGACTCCTCCCATTGCAAGGCAATCATGGTCTTGGAGGAATAGATCACATCCACATCAACGACCTGAGAACCGTCAGCGTCTCCGCAGACCCAACGGCTGAACGACCGACGCTCGGAGAAGAAGAAAGCCTGGGAGTTCCTGGCGGCCTCCACCCTAAGAGCGATGGCCTGCACCCTAGTAGATATGATATGAATTGATCATGGTCATGGTGAGTTTCTCATAAAAAATAATGGTCATGATCTTGTCCACGAGGGCTGGGAGTTCCTCCAAACCGATTGAGACTTCGGCAGGGTCCTCCCTTTTCTTGGAGCAGAGCTGACTTATGGCAATCCAACACCTCTGAAGCTTGCTATTGGTCAAGAAGAATGAAACAAACACACACCTTCACCTCTGACCATAGCTTTCCTTCCACCGCTATGGTTCACCTGAAGAGTTATCACAACCCTCTATATAGATCCCCTGGATTGCCTTTCTCGTCGACAAACCACACGACAAGCCGGTCTCCGTGCCAACTCTTCTTGATCGCCACGAGCTTTCATCTCTTTACCTGGCACATGAAACGATTGGTCTGGAGAACCTACTGATCACTAAGTTGCTCCAGCCGAGTGCAGTGGTCAGCCGAAACAGCCATGAGTAGTGTGGATCGAAAGCCGACTCTATACCTTTTGCAGCAAAACTTTTGAAATAGCTTCAGTGTCAGACTTGGATCAACTTCAGATGGACTGTTGGGAGATACAGCTTGGTCCCAAGCCTTGACATCAAAAGCATCCTGCATCCTTTACTTTAAAGGCAAATGATTGCATCTCCAGAAACAGAACTCCAGTCCCTGCCATCGTCCGTCTTGAACTCAGTGAAGATCATCTTCAACCTGCGCCACAGCTTGCTGCGAAGGCAGGCATCTCATTCGATTGGGCCAGCTCTGGCATTCGAGCAATGCAAACCTTGTCAGGCCAATGTGGCCACTAACGTCTTCACTTGATTTGTCCGACGCATACGCCGTATGTCGTCTGTCAAAAATGCTTCGGATTCCCAGATCCTTTCCGAAGTCCACAAAAGACATACAACGAGAAATCTGAAGAACACGGTGGCCACACACATCGAGGAAGGTTCTCAACACAGAAAAAGGCACTTGACGTGGCTCTACTGCAACGCGTACCCAACACCCAGCTGCTTCTCATCTGGGTAGCCCAGTCCTATTGGTGCCTGAGGGCATGTAGGTCCCTTTAAGACCTCAGCAAAGAATCGAGTGATGGAAGATGATGCGTATAGATTGAGTGGCTGCATTTCACATCGTTGCTGAAGCTTTACATGCATCGGTTCATCGCAAGACCGTCGCTGAGGCCAAGGACAGTTCGACTGGTTGGGAAAAGGTCCAACTTTTCCTGAGGACGGGCTGGGGAGAGAGGAGAGAGAGGGTAGAGTGCACGGTTTGTGCGTATGTGAAGGCGGAAAAGGATTCTGATCGAAAATGGGGGGAACTTATCCCCTCAACAAACGCCATGATCCGCCCGTTCGAAGGCGGACAAACCACTCTGGGACCCGAAAGACCTTCAAGCTTCCAATTCCGACCAGGCTCGACCTCAAATTCAACACTCCTCACTAAGCAAGAACACTAAGCACATACAGCCTCACACTCCTCAACACTGCCTCACTCCTCACAGAAAAGAAACAAACGAACGGTCCACCTGGTCCGGTCCACCCGGGCGTTCCGGGCGGACGATCTCGATGGCCTCCGCGACCCGACCTGTCGCCCAGTCCGAAAGAGTAGCGACGCGACGAACGGGGCTCCTGGCATCGCTACTAGGAACAAGAAGCTAGTAGAATGAAACAAATGGAATTTAATGAGAATCTAAATTAGTAGCAAAGAAAGTCTTTGGCTTCAAAGTGTGAGAATTCTGAAATGGAAACAAATCAAGAGAACTCCATTTTGGCCGATCTCATCGGCAGATCGTTCCAGGTCGCGTGACGTCGCAAACTTCCCCAAGACTCGAACGAAGTCTGCGCAATCTTTTACGAACTTAACATTGTTTCTAATAGCTTCTTGTTACTACTAGTAAGGCACTTGTTTCTAGTAGCGATGCACTTGTTTCTAGTAGCGAACATTGGACAGTTTCGGGTGGAGGCCATCGCTATCAGGTTGGATGAAGGCCTGCCATGCTACCGCCAACTGACACTTGATACCTCTTCCTTTCATCAGGAAAGCTGTTGGATGCGCAAAGCAGCTTCGATGTTGGCCCTATGATGGTTCCAAACCTTTGATGGGCACTGTTGTTTCAAGGAAAAAATCTGAGGCATTAGATGACTCTTAAATTATCTTATATACCATTCCCTGCCAGAAAAGGCAACAGAAACATGTTTTCCTGAATCCTCATCAAGCTAGAACTGGAAAATACGGTGGAAAATACAACTGGAAAATACACATAAAACATCTACAAACAGTGCATGTTTTGTTCATACTGCTACCTACCGAGACAAAACATCCCAACCGCTCGACTCCAGAGTCGAAAGGTGGCCCCCGCTTCCGCAAGCTTCAAGCTTCGAAGCCGGTCAAGCCACACGAACATCTTCAATTGTCAAGGCTTGACCACAACTTAGGCACCTTCTTTGCGAGTGCCAAGGCGTAGCAAGTACTCCTGGCAGTGCTGAAGGGGCTTCGACCACGTTTGGTTCCGCGGATGCTCAAGGCTCAAGAGAAGAAACTGTTGGTTGGCGTCCTTCGCCGGTCCTTCACCATAGTTCAGCGACAAAGCCGGATGGATGCTTGTTTACCCCCTCCTTCTACTCCTTTTATCATCTTTATCTGATAGCCATGCAGCTGACGAACAATCCACTGGGGATCCACCAAGCACCGGAGCAGTCAAAGGCGCCTGAAGCTGCATCCACCAGCCCTCATCCGTCATGCCCGTGCCGAAGAGCTTATCCACACAGCCCTCGCGAGAGGCCCAGAAAATGATCCAATCCTCGAAGCAAGAAGCGCTAGTAGGAACAAGAAGCTATTAGGAACAAGTGCATCGCTTCTAGTAACAAGTGCCTTACTAGTAGGAACAAGAAGCTATTAGGCGATGAACCGATTGGCTCGCCCGCGATGGCTCACAGAGGTGAGGACCGATGAACCGAGCCGATCGGAGAAGAGGTCCCTCAAACCCGAAGTTCCACACATTCCGCGGGTGTTCAAGGCTTCAACTGGAGAGTGTAACTCCAGAACCATATCTTTTGCCGATGTCATCCAAGAATGTTCCGTGTTATGGAAAAAGGCCCATGGCCCATGGCGTTGTGTTTTGACATGATTGTGTGACGACTTAGACAAGCAAAATTCAGCAGCCCACTGTGCACACTGCCGCCGAGGTGCGCCAGCGAGGTTCTGGTTGGGCTTCTGGTTGGTCTTGGCCAAGCGCATCAAGATCTCCCGGACCTGGCGAGATGAAGCCGAAACCAAAGCCAATGCACTGAGGTAGCGAGGTGAAAAAGGAGACCGAGCGGGGGCCAAGTGGTTTGGATGTGTCGCTATTGATCACGTCTTACAGCGAAAAGCCAAGTATGGCCAAGCGGTTTTGTGTTGACTGAGACAACTTCTCTGTTCCAAGCAGAGCTGCCAGAAATGAACACAATCGCCAACGCCAAGCGGTGTTTCGCCCTCAAATGCCTTGAAGATGTCCGGCTCTTCCATTTTGCGGAAGAGGGTCTTCAGGGCACCCCTCCAGAAAACAAGCTGATCGGAAAATTATTGTTGAAGATTGAGTGGCCCTTCCTACACCAAATAGTTCCGTGCACTGGACGTACTCAGTACGTCGTACTGCGTCTCTTGGCGTCCAGACTCCAGCATGCCAGTCTCCATTTCCTTCATCTTCTTTCGGTTCTTCCTTGGGAAAAGAACAATTTCACTAGCTCTTCCATGCCTGAAGCTTGGGTGAGCTCTTCCACCATTTTCCACCGCCCAAAATGTCACGCTGATCAGTGTCGCTTTGAGAACCGCATGTCGCTCCAAGGAGCGGCATGTCGCCCGGCCAGGAGCTAAGGTTTGAACTTCATCAAAGTGGCATCACCCATGCCAGTGGCCTCAGCGGACTCTAGAGACCCAGAGAGACTCATATCCATCGAGTTCCCGCAAATACGCAGATCGACTCAAGATGTGAGACTTCGAAGTCCCAAGCGGGCATCCACAGAAGAAACGGAGAGACCGCTACGACTTCTTCCACTTTTGAGCTCCGCGCCCGCAGGGAGCGATGCCGCAGAAAGGCCCTGCGATGGTCGGTCAAAGGAGGTGAAAATGATGGAATCATCCGCTAACCTGTGGGTGAACTTACGCGTCATCAAGGTTTTCTTTTAACAACAACAACAACAACAACAACAACAACAACAACAACAACAACAA